CTCTCCTCTCCCCCCAACTCATGCTCTCATCCCCCTGTTGTCCATGTCCATTGGTTTGGCTCATATACATTTATACAAGTCCTTTGGTTGATCTCTTCCCCTTACCCCCGCCCTCCCCTACTTCCCTTCTGGGGATTGATAGCCTGATCGCTGTTTCTCAGTCTTTGGGTCTGTCCCTTTTCATCAGTCTATGTTGTTCTCTATAATCCGCAAATGAGTGAGATCATGTGGTTAAATTTAACTTTTAAAAAAGTGAATTATTTAAACACAAGCATTAAGAAAATGGATGTCTGGCCCTGAATGGGTAGCTCAGTTGGTTAGAGCATCATCCTGATATGCCAAAGTTGTGGGTTTGATTCTCAGGACACACAAAGAATCAACCAATGAATGCATAAAAAAGTGCAATAGTAGCTCTCTCTCTCTCTCACCCTCTCTCTCTCTCTCTCTCTCTCTCTTCCTCTCTGGAATAAATTTTTTAAAAATTAAAATCTGAGGACATGACAGTTCTCTTGAAGGTAGGGTGCAAATGGCACTGTGTTCAGAGCACCATGCCCTCTACCATCAAGTACAAATGGTCATCCTGGCTCCGCAGTTCCTGCATCATGTCACAGAGCAGTTCAGGGTGATGCTTAGGAGCACGGCTTGGGAATCTGATGAACCTGACTTTGAACCTGAGCTCTGCCACTGGCTGTGGGACTTGAGACAAGTTATCCAGCCTCTCCAAGCATCAGCTTCTTCATCAATAAGTCACCTCAAAGGGTGATGGGCTTGATCAGTGAAATGAAATGGCCCAGCACTGGGCACAGAAGGTGGACGTGACAGATAAAGCCTGCTGCTCCCTAAACAAGCCCTGCTTGTTCACACGTTTTTGCGCCCCAAGTGTCTGTATATGCTGTTCCCCTAGAATGCCCTTCCACCTGGTGATCACACTCTCATTCCTTCAGTGCCCAGCTTAAGCACCTGCTCCTATAAGATGCCACACCCCTCATGAGGTTAACCCCACCCCCTCTGCACCATCCACCCATGAACACATATGGTGTGTATGGCTTGCTATTCCTTTAGGGACTGGCTCTTGCTTATAGAGAAGGCTCTCAATATATACCTGCCAGATGCAAGAATGCACACTTCTTGGAATGATTCTAATTTCTCTGCAGTTTCTTGGGGGAGGGAGGGCTGGTTCCTTTTCCGTGCTCATAAGGATATCAGACATTCAGCCTCGTGTCAGGGACCTCATCCATCTCTATGGAGAACTGCCAACACGAGATGTGTTGCGGGTGAGTGGTTATCACCATGACGTCAGCCTCAAAGGTTAGGGATGTCCCCAAGCCATCCCAGTTCCCTTTATCACCCTATATGGATAGGTCACCCATGAGAGCGCCTCCAACGTCTGTTTAACCTCTTGGTAGCTTCACAGGTTCCCTAAGCCAGGCACTCACTGTGTGAGACAGGAACACTGTTTTAAACTTTTGTAAGTCACTAGAGGCCCGGTGTAAGCGGAGACAGGTGCGGACACCGATTCATAGTACAGGGTGGTGAGTGTGGTTGAGCAGGGCCCAGGACCCTGAAGGCAGTCAGAGGAGAGGCGACAGGTTTGGAGCGGGCGAGGGAGGTTTAGGGGAGGCTTCCCGAAGGAGGTTAATGTTTTAATTGCTGATCATTCCCTCTCTATCCCACCCACAGAATGGAAGGTCCTTAAGGGCAGGAACCTCACTCCTTTTCCTCAGCTGTTTTCCCAGCTGAATGCCTGGGACAGGGACAGGGACAGGGACAGAGCAGGTGTTCCGTTAACATTCGTGCCAGAATCAGGTAATAGCTGAGCTAAGTTGTGAGGAATGGGTGGATAGTTAGCCTTTCTAAGAGGGAGGGGCCTCGTGAGCAAAGGGCTGGCCATTGGAAACAGCTGGACATGAGGGGAACGAGATGCAGCTGGGGTGGGACAGCCAGGGGCTGGCAGGGAGGGAAGTGAGAAGAGACTGGCTCTGGGACCCACCATCTTGGCTCTCACAGAACAGTGATCCTTATGGTGTGATGGAGGCGGGCTCTGGTGTTTCCGGTCAAAGTCTGACAAATGGGGGGTATCAGGGGATCTCAGAGGAAGCTCTGACCAACTCAGTCCCCTCATTATCCATTCCCAGCGCCAGGCAGGAGAGAGGCTAGACCAGGGATAGCGGGGATGAGGCTCCCCAAACCCTGGAGTTTCACAGACCAACCAATGATCAGTGCGCCAGAGCTGGGATTGGGGTTCACGTGGCGGCGGAGAGAGAAGAACCATGGGAGCCCCAAGGAGGTGTCTCACCTGCTCAGAAGCCCAAATATGCCCATAGGTTGGCAGTCCTCATGGAGCCTGGGCCAAGGGGTCAGAAAGCCTGAATATGTCTCTAGTCAGAGGGGACTCAGCAGAGGCCTGGTGATAACCTACAAGGCCAACAAGCCCAGTGACCCTCCCTGGCATGTTAGGGGCACACTAGGCAGGAGACTAGTCTGTCCTCTCAAGTCATCCACCGACTCCCCTGGCAGGTGGGCCTCATCTTGGCATGCATTTCACAGAGGAGGAGCAGGGCCTCGTCTGCAGCTGGTCTGGCCTCACACCACCCATCCGTCCGTCCATTTTCTTTTCTTTTTTTTCTTTTCTTTTTTTAAAATATATTTTATTGATTTTTTACAGAGAAGAAGGGAGAGGGATAGAAAGTCAGAAACATCGATGAGAGAGATGGATCAGCTGCTTCCTGCACGTCCCCCAGTGGGGACATGCCCGCAACCAAGGTACATGCCCTTGACCGGAATCGAACCCAGGACCCTTGAGTCCACAGGCCGACGCTCTATCCACTGAGCCAAACCGGTTCGGCCATCCGTCCATTTTCTTATTCAGGGAATGTTCATTGAGCACCTACTATGTGCCAGGCACTGTTGAAAGTGCTGGAGATGCAGATTGCCACGCAGACAAACTCCTGTGAGCTCCTGCCTTCAGAAAGCTCACACTCTCTTGGGGAGAGAGCTAAATAATAAAGAAGTAAAGAAAACATAGATTGGAGAGCTGGTGTGGTTTAACAGTCCAGACCTCTGACCCCTCCCAATCCAGTGACCGTGAGAACACTGTGTCTGGGCTGGAGCCCATAGGGACCAGGGTGCTAGCTTATGAGGGTGGCGCGGGGGGCAAACCCCCAGAGTCAGGGAGTAGAGGAGTGTAGCCCCGTGATTCCATCCATCTCAGAACTTCTGAGTTCTGGGCCTTTAAGTCTGATTTAGGCCAGTCCAGGCTTCACCTGTCAGCTGGGTCCTAATTGAGAAGCTCCCAGAATCCCCCGCAGGAACCCCTGACTCATCCGTTTCTCTCTACGAAGCGTCCCTCACTGTCTGCCGTTGACGCTGGCTGCTGGCATAAACCTTGGCTGGAACTGTCGGCCAGGCACCCCCACACGGTCTGGGCTTCCTCACAGCATGGCCGCCTTGCACGGTTTCCATGGCAGCTCAGGACTCCAAGGGTGAGTGTCCCTGAGAACTTGAAGGAAGTTGATTGTCCTGAAAGCCTAGCTTTGGAAGTCACATCTCAACCCTTCTGCCATACCCTTCGTCCCCATAGTCTGTAAGGTTGGCTTAGCTTCCGGGAGAGAAGACACAGACTCCACTTCTCAATGGGCAGAGTGCAAAGAATTGGTGGGCGTGTTTTAGAACGGCCGCACACAGCTAAGAGCAAAGGCAGCATCAGGAGGTGAACTTGGGATGTCCGATGGCAGAGTCCACATCTCAGGCATAGAACTGCACGTGGTGGCAGGCTGCCAGGAAGGACAGGGAAGGGTCTTCCCTAGGGCAGTAGATGTGGGCATGGAGAGGGCACCGAGAGGAGTGTCCTGTCCCTTAGGGACATCCCAGCCTGAGCATGCAGAGGACCGGGCACCGCTAGGCTGGCTGGCTGGTTCTGGCGGTTTGGGTGTGCGAGCTCAGGGAGCCTGTCTCCAGGGCTGGGGACCTGAGTGGGTATCTAACACTGGGGTCCTGCACTCCGGGAGCCTGGACGGATCGCAGACCAAACTCCTCAGGGTTTTGCGAGGAGCTGGTGAGGGAGCATTAGGGATGCCAGATATCACTGCCCAGATCCTCGCCACCACAGTGAAACTTGGGAAGTGAAACTTTTTCAAGGCCAACTTTCTCATCTGTTGCTTGAGGTTGGCTTTCAGTGGCTCCCCTACTCAGCTGCAGGCAGAGACCTGGAGGCCTGGTCAGGGGCGTGAAAATGCACCGAAACTGGCCTGGGGATGTGGGAGGAGGGGTGCCCGTTGTACTCTCAGGTGACCCTTTTTGGGGATTCCCAGTTGGGGGAAGGGCAGTGAACTCACAGGACCCTTCTGCTTTAACACCACTGGGGTGGGGGTGGGGGGACAGTGGGGACTCTGGCCTGGGAATCAGTCTGAGTTTTGGTGGCAGCTCCACCAGGAAAGAGCTGTGTGACCTTCAGAAATCACTTCCCTCTAGAGGGCTCAGTTTCCTCATCCATTAAATGTCAGGTCAGTTGATCTTTAAAGCGTTCCTCTCCCCTGACATCACCAGCTGATCGCCTGGACTCCAGAGACATCATTCACCTCAAATCGTTTCTCTTAGCGCTCACCCAGCGCCTGCTCACTGGACAAACATACAGGAGGATGTTCCTAAAGGTGAGGGTGTGGCCCTAGCTGGTTTGGTTCAGTGGATAGAACATCGGCCTGCAAACTGAAGGGTGCTGGGTTCGATTCTGGCCAGTGGCACGTGCCTGGGTTGTGGGCTTGATCCCCAGTAGGGGGGCATGCAGGAGGCAGCCAATCAGTGATTCTCTCTCATCATTGATGTTTCTCTCTCTCTCCCTCTCCCTTCCTCTCTGAAATCAATAAAAATATATTTAAAAAGAAAAAAAAGATGAGGGCATGAATTCAGCCCAGATCCACCTTGATCTCAACTACACTTGCCACCTCCCACCTAGTTCCGTTCACAGTGAGGATGGGGAGAGAGTGTGGATAGTTTTGTGAGGGCCAGCACCACTGAAAGAACACCGTTGTCCATAGCAATCCTCCTTCCCCAGGGACCAGGAGCATCTTCCCAAACCCTTCTCCCCCAGCACCACCATCCAGCCACCCGCCAGGTGGGACAAGGAGAGCAGGAGTGTGAGGGAGGAGCTGGAAGATTCAAGGCTTAAGTCCCCATCATAGATTGTCCTTTCAGCTAGGACTTCTTGGGGCTTGTCACAGTGGATAGGAAACATCTTGGGTACTTGGTGTTTAATGCTCACCTTCCTGGACAGACTAGAAGCTTCCTGAGGAGAGGGACCGATCTGTTCACTGCTTTACCCCCAAAGCTTGGAACTCAGACTTGCGTATAGTAGGTGCCCGATAAATAATTGTTAAGTGAATGAATGCTTTTGAAGCGCTCTTCATCTAGTAGAGAAGATTAGGCACATGCAAATACTATGGTAAAAAGCCTCTCACCTAATTCAACATTTCTCTCTTTTTAATATGTTTTTACTGATTTCAGAGAGAGAGGAATGGAGAATGGGAGAGAGAGATAGAAACATCGACACTGATCAATCAGCTGCCTCTTGCACGCCCCCCGTTGGGGATGGAGTCCACAACCCAGGCATGTGCCCTGACTGAGAATCGAACGGTGACCTCCTGGTTCATGGGTCGACACTCAACCACTGAGTCACACCGCTGTGCTGGGAGGGGTATTATTATTATGTCCCTTTGGATGAGAAACCTGAGGCATAGAGGGGTAAGTCACCTGCCCGGTGTCACACATCTGAAAAACGGCCAGACCAAGGCTGGGCCCTGAGTACCTGGAGCCTCATGTCAGCCTGTAGTCCCTGCACTCTCTTGCCTCCCAACAACATGCCCGTAAGTGGTGGGCACGGGCTGGGCCTGGGACTCAACAGGGAAAGTCATTTGCCGAGAAGGGGGATAGCTTTGGCTGGGTGGACGAGGAAAGCTCCCCGGAGGAGGGCCAGGAGAGGGGGTGGGACAGACACGGGGTGGGGTGGGGATTCCTGTGGGAGCGCATTAGGAAGGCACCAACTCGCTCAGTAGACCCAGCAGCCCATGTAGACCTCTCTGCGCCCGACTCTGCTCAGTAAAAGGAACGCAGCACAGATCCACATTTGTTTACCTGAGATCCTGGTGGCCCGCTGGGCTTTGGAATTCAGAATTGTTCCGATTTTATTTTATTTATATTAAAATTGATTTCAGAAAGAAAGGGAGAGAGAGAGAGAGAGAGAAACATCAATGATGAGAGAGAATCATTGATCAGCTGCCTCCTGCAGGCCCCTTTACTGGGGATGGAGCCCAAAAACTGGGCATGTGCCCTTGATGGGAATCGAACCCGGGACCCTTCAGTCCACAGGCTGGCACTCTGTCCACTGAGCCAAACCGGCTAGGGCAATTTTTCCGATTTTAGAAAGAAAATTCAAAGCATACATTGTATGTGATAGGGCACCTCCAGGGGCCCGATACAGCCTCCTGGAATAAGGCATGTCCATTTCTGCAGCAAAACTCAACGGGATAAATAAGACTCTAACTTGGCCTCTGTCGGTTCGGGTCAGGTTTTGCCATTTGGGGATTCTGGAATCGGGGATGAAGGGAGCATGATCGGTTCGAAGCCCTGTGGGTCACTGCATATAGAGGGTGTTTGTCCAAAGGCTCCCCTCCCTCCTTCCCCCCACGCTGGGGACCAGGAAGGAGGTGGGGCGGGTTGGAGCAGAGGCGGCAAAGGCGTTTCTAAATAGGAAAACCAGGCGCCACGGGCCCCAGGAAGAGCCGGGCATTCCCGGGCTGCCTGGGCCGCGAGTCACCGAGTCACCGCTGAGCAGCAGGCTGCACGCAGGAATGTGTCCTGGCCCATGGCCCGGCAGGGGTGGGCGGCGGGCAGGCAGGGGCATGGCTGAGCTGAGCCACTGCCCAGGACTAAGAGACCTTCTCAGCGGACCCCTGCCAGTCCGTCCCCCCTCCCCCCGCCAGGGCTGGCTGTGCCCTGTGAGCATGTGGGGGAAGAGCCAGTGGGAGGTAGGGAGCAAGACCCGCAGACAAATGTGCCCTGGAAGCTGTGCTGGGGCTCCCCAAGGGGGCATGGGAGGAAACAGTACAACTTCCATTCCTATGGATTTGTATTTCATCCTTAGAAATTTTAATGTAATTTATTATTTTTCCAAATAAGTAACACATTCATATGCTTTAAAAACATCAAGAGCCCTGGCCTGTGGGAGGTAGGGAGCAAGACCCGCAGACAAATGTGCCCTGGAAGCTGTGCTGGGGCTCCCCAAGGGGGCATGGGAGGAAACAGTACAACTTCCATTCCTATGGATTTGTATTTCATCCTTAGAAATTTTAATGTAATTTATTATTTTTCCAAATAAGTAACACATTCATATGCTTTAAAAACATCAAGAGCTTTAGCCTGGTTTCTCAGTGGTTAGAGCATCTGCCTGCAGACCAGAGGGTTCGAATTCTGGTCAAGAGCATGGACCTCAGTTGCAGGTTCGATCCCCAGCGATTGGTGCCTGTGGGGGGCAACCAGTCCATGTGTCTCTTTCACGTGGCTGTTTCCCTCTCTCCCTCTCTCTCCTCTCTCTCTTCCCCTCTTCTCCTTCCCCTCCACTGTCTCTCTAAAGATCAATGGAAAAAATACCCTCCAGTGAGGATTAAAAAGAAACAACAACAAAATAAAAACGTGAAGATACAAGAATCTGGAAGAGGGACATTTCTACCCCATATTCCTAACAACATTCTTCATAATAGCAAAAGGGTGGGAGCAAAGGCGTCCCTGGACGGAGGAATGGATAAACAAAATGTGGTACACACACGGGAATGTTATTCCCCAAAAGAGGAAGGGAATTCTGACACACGCGGCAGCATGGATGAACTTGGAGGACACTGTGCTGTGTGAACAAAGTCAAACACAGAAAGGCAGGGAGTGGGTGATTCCGTTTGCATACGGTGCCCGGGCTGGTCCAGCTCACAGGACCAGGAAGCAGAGTGGTGGTTGCCAGGGGCTGGGCCAGCAGGGATGGGTGCAGAGCTGTGCGTCCCCAGGGATGCATCTGAAAGACAATGCAAGGCTCTGGAAGCCTTCCAGGCACTTTGGCCGCATCTGGAGCGGGGCCAGCGGCCTCTGGCCTTCCTTCTCGAAGCCGTCTGCTGGGGATGGAGACAGAGGGACTGTGCCAAAGGCGAGCCTCTTTGGGAACCATCAACGGGAAAAGCCTGATGCCTGCCTGGCCGAGGGAGAACCGGAAGCCAGGCCGGGGGGGCCCCTGCTGCTCGGAGGGCCTGAGAAAGCCCTTCAGTATTCTCCCATCTGCTTCTGGCTGCTTGTCAAAACCAAGTGTCTGAGGGACATAGCTTATCAGCAGGTAACTGGGTGGAACAGGGACATATATGGTACCCTCTTCTGACATATTGGCCTGTATTGGCTGCGGCAGCAAATGAATCCGGCACTCAGCTCTGCTGCCAGCAATCAAA